CGCCTGCGCAGTGTCTTATCTTTCGAATAACTGTACTAAGTTCTGAATTTCCTTCATTTTCATTGGCCAGATTTTATGCACGCACAATACATGTATCTACTGCGCACGCTCACAGCTGTCCCAGTCAGTTGTTTTTGTTTAGAATATAACCTCGTAAATTAGCGCATTAGAAGCGTTCTTTGTTTATCCATTTATTTTTGAGATCAGTGATGACAACACGAATATACCAAAATCACTTTGAAAATCATAACTAAAATTCCGCTCTACACCGCACGCCTATGACCTCTGTCAGAAATAAACAAATAAAATAAAATTTCGGCGTCCCTGCCGTTTAGTGACAGGATGGTATCCCCTAATGGCGGCGTGCGCAGAAAAGATGCGCGTGAGAGTTAGCCTGCTGATTGTTTTTGTATATGCTGTGCTATTACCTCCATGCGTCCCGGACAGCTGCCAGTGACGCTTTAACCTTTCTCTGGCCCGTAGGTCAATTATTTCGTATGGATGAGTGATTGTCGATTTCAAACTACTATCCTGGCAGAATATGAAGAGAAAAAATGTTGCCAAGTAGTATTCGGTAAAATCAAAGAAAAAGAAAGGTACTACAAAATGATAGAACAAGAATGGTCACAAAACATGCTATATGGTCGGAACGTCCTAAAAGAAAATGATGGCATTGAGCTCCCAGCCTACCAATCTCCACATATGGATGCTGTGCATGTCCTACAAGCTCAACAACAACAAGGCACGACTTCGTGGTACACTGGACCCTTAAGACACTGCTCACTCAAAGAAACTCACAATTTGGCAAAGCAGCGCAAACACTAACAGGTTCCTGCTGTAGTCGTTTCCAGTTGCCACGTGCCCATGCTGCGCTAATGACGCGACGGCGATTCAGCGTAGCTCTTCAGTGCAGCTCGGCGACTCTAGGGCGTGTTCCGGATTTATGCTCGATGGAGCGATTCCAGAGCGTCGTGACGTCAGGCAGTGCACTCTGGCCAAACCAAATGTGCTTGTGCAGTGTTCAGTGCCGGCCCGAGACTACTTTTAGTATGGAGCGAGATCTGACTTTGGCGCCCCTATTTTAAATGTGATTCGCATACGCGAGTATGGATTTTGACCACTATCTAATTTAATAGGTTTGTTCCAACCCGCCAAAAAAATGTCCCAGAACGGTTTCGGAACCACTCTGTATACGAATTTCGGTTTCTATGCAATAAAGGAATTCATCGTCGAAATGTCATTAGCGGCTATTTGGGGATACGAAACAGATGCAATAATTTTAGGTTTTGCGCAGAATCCTGACGATAATATTACGGTTTCCTGCTGGGTTGGAACAAACAAAAGCTCAATGCCTCTATTTATCTTACCAATTGAAAATTCAAAACATTTCTGTTCGTTGGTACAAAGTTCTCTTATTTACTAACATTTAGTTCACATTAATTGATGGGATCAATCAATAATCCACTTTGGTTAAATTGGTTATATCACTTATAACACTTATGGCCATTTCCACCAACTAGTTATTTTCGGGAAACCTTAAACGATAAGTATTCCCTAGACTGACAGTTTTCCATGGAGAAATGTCAGTTTAGGAAATACTTATCGTAATAGTTTGTGGAAACGGCCATTAGGGTCGGTTTATTCACCTTCTGATAAACTGTCAGGTATGCAATCTGACCGATAAAAATGCAATCTCTAATTCCATTGGTTGTTTATCTGAATATAAATAAACCGGGCCTAATAAATATAAAAATCGAACAAACAAAATACGAAATTTTCGTGTGTTTGCATACTTTTGCATTAGCAAATTTATTTATGATCTCATATGACAATATCTGAGCTATAACATTTTCAATGGACAGCAGGGCTAGATCTGAAGGTTTCTCTTCTGCTAGAGTTGACCGCTAAGGTAAGTTTTAATTAACTTAAGCTTACTAATCGTTCACCTTTCGGCACTGTAACAGAAATGGTAACAAAAATACGGAGGGCTATCCAGATATAAGGAAACGTATCTTGCCAATTATTAAATGCTAACGCCTGAAGGACTGCTTTGGGGTGACTGTTATCACTATCCGAAATATCGTGATTAAATGATCGGGTAAGGGCGCCACCACACCCACGATCCGTGCGCGTCTCAAAAAAATGTCAGGACAGGTTATTCTCATACTAAGTAAGCACAAGCTTGCTCACAAGCAGAGAAGCAAAATATCGAAAAGCAGAGACAGAATTCAAAGCGAAAATATACTTTTCCCTTTTTTTTTATTACCAAGGAACGAGTCGAAGGCGCCCCCCGAGGTCTGGCGCCTGGAGCGCTCGCTCAGTTCGCCTTATGGTAGGGCCGGCCCTGGCAGTATTAATTATAAGAATTAAAGAGTATTGAAATATATGCTAGTCCTGCTATTAAACAAGTCGATGTTTTTAGTATAGTGGGCTTTTATATTTTATATTATAAATTAAAGGCCAGCAGTTGGCCTTCATTCTCTAGTGGCCCGGCCCGTAGGACATGACCAAATTGTCCTAACGGATAAAGTGTCCCTGACAGCTGCCCAGTGTTGTGAACTAGTGAATTCATTATTACCCTTATTATCAATAATCCTTATGTTCACCACAGTTGCTCTTCAACAAATTCCACCATCTGTGTAATTAAGTCCCAAGTTTTATAATACAATACTTTATGCTGTTGAGGTTCAAAGACGATGCCGACTAGAATTACTATATAACCAATGTCCTGTTCACACCAATTTCTCGAAAGTAGGTACTTCTATTGCAGGAACCCCAAAAGGGAACTTGCACATTTTTTTTTTTATTTCAAAAATGTGTTGTACTACACTAAAGACATAGTCATGCCAAAAATCAAGCATTAAAAATCAGCCGTTAATTTTTTATAAATATTTGAAGTTACGCTCGAAACATCGCCATTTGAAACGACCGATTAGTGTGACGTCACTCAGCAACAAAATTCCGTTCACAGTCCTTGGTTGACAGTGACCTGCGAGCAGGTAGATTTAGATTATGGTTATGTTGTTATGTATGCCGTTTATGATAGATTTGACATTGACAACACCAGCAGCACATGGCGTGGCAGCGGTGCGACCCGATTATTACTGCCCTTTGACGTCAGGACCCATAGAATAGCTATTTATACAATAAGTTACGAAATGAGCGTCTTTTAGGCACGCGACGTGAAAATTGTCCAACGAGGCAAAGCCGAGTTGGACAACACGTCGAGTGACTAAAAGACATCGTTTCGTGACGTATTGTATACAATATTTTTTCTACTGGCATTTTATAATAAAAAAACATAATTTTATTTCATGTGAATAAGCCGATTACGCCCAAAATCTTTATTACCTGCTTTAGCTTGGCACCTGACACTTTTCATGCGATTTTTTGGATTGGACATCAATAATTAAAATCCCAGAAAGTAGGTAACAACACAAAGTTCTGTTTTGAGTAACCCAATAACGTTCAATTCAATAATTAATTTTTAATATTCATAATAAATATAAAACAAAATTCAAATCTGTGTTTAGTTTAGTGTATTTTTTATTTCTGAATAATGAATGGCACTTTTAGGCACTAGTGCTTAAAAATCACTTTTACGCACTCAAAAGTCACTTTTACGCATTCAAAAGTCACTTTCACGCACTGAGTGCCTAAAAGTAACTTTTACGCACTCAGTGCCTAAAAGAATGTCGTTTCAAAACTGAAATGACAATCGAAAAGTTGCTATTATGAAACGTCAGTAGAAAAATACGTTTTTGATCCTTTCAAGAATTTCGAATTATTTGGTATTTTCAATTGAAGATTTTGAAAACCAGAGATAAGATATTATATCCTTTTCCTAATTGCATCATTAATTAGGATGATTGTTATTGTATTTTATTATTTATTTCATATTTAATTTAATGTGCAAGTTTCCTTTTGTTGTAAATATAAAAACTATTGAATACAGCCCATGGGAAGTAATCTTCAATTAAGTAAGTAATTTTCAAAGTATCCGGAAGCTGTTCTAATTAAACTTCATACGGATCCAGCAGAGACCGAAGTATGAAAACAACAAATGCGATTACTGATGGGAATAAAGAAAACCAGAACGACACCACTTATATAGAGTGCGACGAAAGTAAGCACAATTTGCACCATAAATTATTAATACTTCTCGATTATTGTGGATGAGCGAAACTAGGATAAACTTTCCTTTTGGTATATAGAAGCTTTCAGTACGAATCAACCTGCTCAATCGATTTTGTTGACTGGAAGAGAAATGAAGTTTTCCACAGATCCAATAATGATTGAAGCTCTACTTCCAGTTTATGTGGCTGATCTGAAGGCCAGGCTCAGAAAAGCTCATGATTCCAGGAACCATTCACGTCTAAGTATCAACGGAATGAAAATGAGACTCGGCAAACGGCAGCCATTGAACACCTCCAATAAGTGGGAAGGGCAATATAGGAACGTTAGGTGTACAGGATTCAACTCTGTCTGAAAGCTAAGCCAAACGTTGTACGTTGTTGTACGTTGGATGCGATCAGGAGAAGCTGTTCGGAGCAAAACAGCTCCAAGGAAGGGGGCCGTGTTATAGTGCTATAAATCTCTCAAGTTAGGAAAATTGTGGACAATTAATCTCTCTAGACGCAACGAAGCTCTGTGAAACGGTGTCGGCTATCGAGGGAGAGTCAGTGATTAATTAGACGCCAGTGAGTCGATAGTCGATAGTAAGACATAGAGTTGTGATTTAGTTTTGTGACTAGTTAAGATTTATTTTAGTTAAGCGAAGAGTTGTAATAGTGTTAGGTTTCATCATGATTTTTGTGGTCTGATGATCTTATTGTCTCGAGTAAAGATAAATAAATGTTAGAACAGAAGTCTCTCTGGTGGTCTTGCATTGCCTACCCCAATTTGAGAAGTACAGCCATATGCGATTGTCGCCTGTGCGACAAATAAGTCCGTAGAAAGCTCATTCGTCAATGACCTCTGGTCAAATCTATTGGAGTTTTGTAAATAACTGTTTTCTTGCTGTGTTATTGGTTCCTATTGCCTCGGTTTCAACCAATAGGATTCAAAACTAAAAATCTACTTTGCTGCTAATGAATATTTACAAAGCTGAGACTAAAAATAAAAACAATAATTATTTATATTTCAATTTATTTAAAAAAAAAAAAAACAAATAAAAAATATTAGTCTATCCAATTTTATAGCACAGAAGCTTGTTCCAAGCCCTTCTTTCCTTTAAAAACTTTATTTCCAAGCCTTTTTCCACCAGCATAATGTTCAGTAATCTCTCCCAAAGTCCAACCCTCAGTTTCGGGTAGCAGGAAATGTAGCGATATCAAACCTATAGCAGCTACTGCAGCATAAAACCAAAAAACTCCATACAATTTGAATACGTCCACTAAATCAAGGAAAATTTTATTCGAGACAAATCCAAAAACGTAACCTGTTCCAGCACTCAGGCCTGAAGCATATGCTCTTACGTCATTGGTAAAAAGTTCACCTACTAGGATGAATGGCAGGCTTTTGATACCCAAGTAGCAGAAGAATGCTTGAAGTATCAAAGCAACTAACGGTATCCAAGTTGAATTTAAGCCATGATTTTCGTCGGTTAGATTTGAAACATCAAAAATGTAACTGTAAGTTCCTGCTATAGAAAATAATATAGCGAGAAAAGTTAAAGATATTGCCACCAATCGTCTTTTGCCTAAATATTTAATGGAAAATACATATATCACCACTGCTAAGAGCTGTACTACGCTTATAGAGACTGTAGCATAATAAGGACTAATTGGAACTTCAAAAGAATTAAAGATTCTTATAGCATAAGCGGTAATAGGAGTATTACCAAAATGCGCGAAAAAGAACACCAGGGATATTAACAAATATGGCTTCCAAAAAGTGGGCTTCAAATAGAGCTTCAAGATTTCGACCACCCTATGTTTCCTCAACATGGGATTCTTATCTAATTCATCTTTAATTTTCAAATATTCAACTTCAATGTTACTTTTTACAGTCCATCCTCTGAGCCAGGCTAAACTTTTTCTAGCTTCTTCATGACGTCCTTTGGCAATCAACCAATAAGGCGATTCCGGTACAAATATTAATAAAATAAAACCTGCTAGTGGCACTGATGAGTTCACTAAAGCCACGGTACGCCATTCCAAAAAGGTGCCTAGGAAGAAGGAGATGAATATACCAAAGTTGACAGCCATAGTACTGGTGGCGCATAGAGCGCCTCGGAGGGCTGGTTCGGTTATTTCGGCTACATAGGTGAGTACCTAGAAAAAGATGTTTCATTTGGTTAATTCAATAAAGAAATTTGTATACGAGTTTGTTCCAAGAGAAATTGTATTATTCCAGTGGCTTCAATAGCCAGAAAAGTCCGACTTCTTGTTGGGGTTTGATCGGAAGGTCTAGAAAGAAGAGACCAAGACCAAAAATTTCTCACATATTTCATGTGAGAAGTTCTCACGTAAATTGTGAGTGAAATGAGAAGTTATCGATGCTAGATTCTTCTAGATTCTAGACCTTCAACCCCTAATTATTTAATTAGGCTATAACTTTGAGTCTATAGATCTTGGTGTAGACTCGTTTTAATAATATGTTAGCTAAAGGTTATACGAGAGTTGTGGGAGAAAATTGCTTTTGGAACAAACCGAAAGGGACATGCAATAGAGAAAAAGCAAGCTAAAATAAAAATTACAAACCAATCAGAGCAATTCTGTTAAAATATTCTCTATCATTCTGAGAAACTCAAAATCACCTCAATTATGGTTTGTGATTTTTTTTTTAGAACAAAAAGGAAAATGTATGGATGATCAAAACATGAAAGAAAGAGAACATGCGTTCGAAGAAACAAGGTAAGTATGTTTAAACATATAGTGAGTGCCAAATAAGTAGCTTTGATATAGTAGGTATAGTCCGACAAATAGCATTTTAAAGTCACGTGATACTGGTGACAAAAAACGTATGTCCATTGATTATGTCGTTCATATCACCTACAAAATGCTACTGGTGATTAATTACTATTGAATTTTAGGTTGTTCCCACTAGCATTTTACAAACGCGTTTCTGCAGTAGTATTAACCAATCAGAGGGCAATTTTAATACTTGCAATTGTTGCGAGACTCACTTTTGTCGTATCTGCTCTGTTGTAATACATTCTGAACTTAAACTGGGTACCCGTTTTCTATTTGCTTCTTTTCGAGTTGGAAAAAGGTTAATATAGTCAGAATTATTAGCTGTGCTTGTTCATTGTATTATTTTCGAAAATAACTTTGACAAACTAATTGATGACAGTGACGGATTCTATTTCAGGTAAGAATATTATTAAGAATAATTAGACAGCAATTTTTTTGTCAATTTTACTATCACCGCTGTTTGAGATGTATTCAACAAGGATAGAGAAAAATCACGTGACTTTAAAATGGTATTTGTTGGACTATAGGTACCCATGCATAATATGTTATCAATTCGATATTTGTATTCTGGGGAATGAAATAAAAATTAGAAAGAAATAATAATGCACAACAGTGGCGTAGCCAGGATTTTTTTTGGGGGGGGGAGGGGGGGGGGGAAGGGGACAAATTTGCAGGAAGTGTTTCTTCATGTTTCTTGTCGGTCCACCGCAAGCGCTACCGGTATCAAAGCGCCGCAGGCGCGAAATTTTTGGATGCCAGGCCCATTTTTTGGGTCTTTTTACTGTATTTTTGTGTGTGTTTATTTTAATTTTAAAGATTTATACATAAAATTTAAAGGACTTGAGGGGGGAGGGGGAGTCAAATGCCCCTCTGCCCCCTCCTGGCTACGCCAGTGATGCAGAAATAGGGACACAATAGAAGATCACGGAAGAAAAAATGGAGATAGATGGAAAGGTGTCTGGAAACATAAAACCAAACATTTAAAGAGAAATAAAAAGCAAAGAAAGATAGATTTTTGTACAAAAACACAAAGACTTGAAAGAAGAGGTATAAATAATAAACTGACATACTTACATACTTTCGCATGGTCGAAAGTTCTCACTTTTAAATTATAACAACTTGAACAAAACAAAAGCGATGGTGTATTATAACTGGTTACAGCTTGCAGAAAAAAATGATCGGACACGGTATAAAACTACGTATCTTGAAGCTATAGTCTGTTGCAAATTTTGTATGATTGTAAATTAAAGTAAAATTCTCAGTACTTACAGGTGCTTCGAGAAGTCCACCACTGAAACCAGTCATACACAGAGCCAAGAACACGTGCCATGACTCTGTAGAGTAATGAAACAGTAACCAAGCCGCTAAAAAGGGTAAATTAACAAATTGCATTGCCCTTTTTCGTCCCAGCGGTTGGGTTACTGCGCCTGAGAGTAAACAACCCAATGGAACACATAGAAGATTTACTGAACCTGTAAATAAATTATTATTTTAAGTTTTGGTATCGTATGCCTAATGCGGATTTTACCTATCCATGATATAGCGTCTTGTCCCAGAGAAATTTTTTCATCTTGATTTCCTCCTGATAAACTAGGTATTAGAATGGTTGGGAAGCCTAATGTCATACCAAATCCCAGTAGCAAAATATTTTTAACGCTCACAGCTAGAATTTGTGGCAAGGCCTTCCTCATTGGGGACATTTTAATTTTGGTATCTTGTGATTTTTCACTGAAAGGAAAGATGCATAATTATATCAAAAACAGTTCGACCTTGTTTTTTGCTTTATTTGTTGTTGTTTTTACGCGTAAAGGTTAATTGAATAGGGACAATAACCCAGTTTAGATCAAAATAATGTTAATTGGGTAAGAACTGTTTGGCCATGGTTTTGTGCCAATGCAAACAACTGATTAGGTATCTTTTTTATACTTTTAATGACAGATTTTAGCTTCTATTAACGGGATTTATTATTGCACACATTATCTAAATTAGAGGTTATAAGGGACAAAAATGGCAATATATTTACCAAAAATTTGCTAATGATTATCGTTGCACATTAAAATATTGCAGGACACTATTTTTATTCAATAACAGAAAGCTTTCAGTTAATGCGTTTAAAGTATAATTGCTTATAGGCGACATAAATAATAAAATGGCGATAAAGCTGAATTTGCAAAAAAACTCCGTTGATATGTAATTTTTTTTATCACTTTTGCGAGCACATTTAGGTTTACTTGGCTGCCTTAGTTTTGTGCAATTCTAAATATTTATTCAAATATTTATTTGCAACAACTTCCCTCCCAACCAACATTAAGCCAATTTATAGAGCACTTGCATTTTTTTTTCCAAATTCGCTAGTTTTTGAAAAGCAGCAAGTCTGGAGACCAATAAGTTGAATACGATATCTTACTTCAGCAACTATACAATCTCCATATCAACTACTCAAAAAAAAATTGCCCAAACTCTTCTCAACTGGATTTTGCCTATTCATCACAAGCAGATATGATTAAATCGATGATGCCAGCCATACTGCCCATAATTTATTTAAGAATCGTTCCCAGCAGCTCCTCAAGAAACTCACCGTTGGAATGGTTGACCGATTGAAGATAATTCGTTGTAACGTATGAGGGTTGAGAGTAAGAAGACATCAGATGCCTAATTAGGATCATTTCAGCATACTTACAACAACTGTAAAATCTACTGGGAAAAAGTATAGGAAAGTAAATAGATGATAGGGTTCAAGTTCAAAGAGTACGTAGATACCCAAAGAGCCTTCGTATAGGCAAATACAGGTTGTTCATTTTAAAATTTACTACCCCTATTATCTCGGAGGAGAAAAATTTTGGAAAAAATCCCTGAAACACGTCAACTATAATTTGAGGGAGGATGAGTTTTCATGCAAAATTCACCTCCCCCTTTCAACCCCCCAGCCTCAGAGCCACCCCCTAGAAAATCTTAAATGGGAAGGGGGGTCAAATGATGCATCATTTTGGAGGGTTTTTGATGCCATACAATTTGGTACTGAATTTCAATCCTTAAGTTCAACTGTTATGGAAATATTGACAGTTGAAAATTGACTTTTTTTGCAACTTTCTCAGGCTGTAAAACCTAAACGGTTAATTTTAGAGGAAAACCAATCTTAGATTCTTTTTTTAGATTTTTATAAACTATCATTTGACAACAGTTTTGAATTTGATCCATGATCAAAAATTCCGGCTATAAATGTAATCTCCAGTTTAATTCAAAGTTGGTGTCAAATGATAGTTTATGAAAATCTAAGATAACCGCTTAGGTTTTACAGCCTGCCCAAGTAGCAAAAAAGTCAATTTTCAACTATCAATATTTCCAAAACAGTTGAACTTGAAATTATAGTTGACGTGTTTCAGGGATTTTTTCGAGTGTGTCCTAGGGAAAACAGTCCACCTCGATTTATTGCATTTAGAATGAAAATCTGGAAAAACGCTCGGATGCGTCGATTTTTGATTTGAGGGGGAAATATTTTTCAGTTTTTTTCATCCCCGTAGCTTTAACCCCCTAGCTAGGGAGAGAACAACCCCCCAAATTTAAATAGGAGATATGGGTCGTATCATACCTCTTTTTAAAGGTCTCATCGAGTTATTCATGGCCCTAGAATTTCGTCTTATTATTCTCATCCGTAACGAAATGACAGCTTGTCAAAATCTTGGAAATAGACCATTGTTTTAAGTGGGAGTAAAAGCGATACTTACCCAGGGCCGCAACTAGAACCCTCGGCGCCCAAGGCAAGTCCAAATTTTGGCGCCCCTCTACCGCCTTCTCAAAAGTAACAATAGATATATTTTTTGCTTTGGTTTTTGCTTGAAATATCAGCAGCTTTTTCTTTGGTAATATAAGCAGAAACTTTTAAAATTTTTATTTACGGTACATGTAAACAAAAACAAAACAAACTACACTCCTATTCCTAGCTCGTGCCAAAAAATGCGCACTGAGTGCATACATAATTGCACTGGATTTCAAATGGAAAATAAAAACTGATAATGTACAGTCAAATGAAATGTAAAAATTGCACTGACTGCACCTCCGTGCAGCAAATGGAAAACGCCATTATTTTATCGCGAACAGTTTTGGAACAGGTTCTCCAGACTGTCTAAAGGCCGTTTTACAGCTAGCAAGAAAACTTGAATGCAATTTTTTACATGCAACAAAATTGCATTCAAGATTTCTTGCACGTCGTTTTACACCTTGCAATTTGACTTGTTTCTTCCTCTAACCTTAACCATACATACTTTTGTGTTTTTAATTTTGTTTTGTTGATGTTTGTATTTTCCAAAAATGAAAAACGTGAAAATAAATCGATATAAAAAGAAGAATGCAATAACAGCCACTTTAAGCATCATAATTGCTAAAAATTCCCCAGCTTGCGCTAAAACCTTCAAGAAAAATGGCACCAAACCGATTGCATGCAATGCCATTCAAGTTTCAAGAATCTTGCAGAAAACAATCAGCTGACTTACTTCTGCGCATGCTTTCGTTCAAGTTTCTTGCATATTGCAGATAGAATTGCAAGCTGTAAAACGGCCTTAAGTAAGTATTCATAAAGTGTGTTTTTTTTTTTAAAGATAATTCCCCAAGTCAAAAATTTAGTAACTATGTTGGCAACACAAGCCTTTTCTACATTAAAAATTTGAAAGCTTGACAATTTTACATTGTATTGCCAACATAATGTCATTTTGACTTTTATCTTTAAAAAAAAACAGATTTTAGTCGATGCTCAAGGAACGATGCTCACAACTGTCAAAAATCGGAGCTTGAGCCAAGCACCCGTCTATGAATACCGGGCTAATGCGTAAACGAACGTTATGTGTCAATCCTGAAGTTCTTGCTGAAATCCTAGGACCGCAAGAAGTGGTTCAGAAACGGTTCCGAACCGATTCTGGCTGATAGACGAATCCAGAACCGTAACTAAAAGTTCGCAATTTTGTGATCCGCGAACGCCATTACTTAAATTGCGCATGCGAAATAGTTTCCAACCCGAGGCGTTATTCTTGACTTTACCTAGGTAGAAAATTTGACATTGTTAACAGTTAATGCACTGTTTAATTGTCAACACAGTCAAATTTTCTCTCGAGAGAAAGTCAAGAATAAGGTCGCAGTTTAGAATCCTTAAGGTAGGATTTTTAACTATCCGGCATTGCGATATGCGGCAGCGGTGTGCGGTACTGCGATGTTGCGGATATCGCAACCCGCATGCTGTTGGCGGCAAATTTGTTTTTTAACTGTCAGGCAAATATTTTTGAAGTCGCGTTCAAAAAATGGAATCGGCTACTCGTCGTACTACTGCAGCGATTCTCTTGCTCGAAGAAGATGAAGAAGAGGAAGCTGTATTTCACTGCTGTGAAAATCTCAGTAAAACATCAAACATTTATAAAAATCGTGCACAAGAAGGAGCGTATTTTCATTGAACGTCATTTAAATGATAGTGAAACTCAATTTAAAGCATACCTGAGAGTTTCACGTGACCTGTTTTACTATATTATAAGGGCCAAATTATGGACCAACTGGTAAGTGTCTGGTTGGTACCTAGCAGGTACTTTCTATTCTCTAGTACATAGAAAGTACCTGCTAGGTAACAACCAGACGTTTACCAGTCAGTCCATAATTTGGCCCTAAAGGGGATATAATAACAAAGCCTCAAAACTGTAGTATTTCGCCAGGTTGTGGGCGTCGCACACTACTGCGGTGTCGTCGAAAAACATTTTGGAGTTTTTCAGCGGCACGCCGCAAAGACAGCTTGCGACGCCGCAGTGCCGTTGACGCATAACGCATGGTAACAAAACAGTTAGATGTTACAACATAGTAGACAACTCACCGGCACGTCGCAAAGCCGCACAACGCTACCGCACACCGCAATGCCGGATAGTTAAAAATCCTACCTTTGCCGCGAACGAAGCTATTGTAAAAGTAAAAGCTGTTTACGGAAACTATGATCGGGTTACCACGATCGCCATCAGACGTATTTTGTCTTTTTTCAATCGTATTCATTAAGGAAAGATAGAAAACATTCAGCTGCTGATCGGGTTAACCCGATTATAGTTTCCGTAAACGGCTAAATAGAAAAGAATCAAAAGAGGTAATGCATGCAGCATGCAGAGGGCGCCCACGTCGCCCACAGTGCTCTGGCTCAATTTGGTCAGGTCAAAGCTCGACTCGAAGCTAATAATCTCTGGCTAACAAATGTTAGGCGCTTCGTGATCAATACTTGAATTTATCACAGACATTGCAATTCGCTGCTGCCTTTTGCATGCGCACTCTGTTTAACATAATTTATATGATTATCATCGATATTCGTATTGTTGATGGTTGCCCAAGAGAGATGTAACACAAGCAAAATAAATTTCCGTGCTACGACAAATGACGTGTAAAACCGTTGCATTTTTTTGGATTGTAAAATATGGATGGATTAAATTGGGCGCCTTCGGCGCCCCGATACTCCGGCGCCCTAGGCGGGTGCCTAGTTCGCCACCCTCTAGTTGCGGCCCTGTACTTACCTCCCTTCACTCCCTTCACTTTCACACGTTTATTTTTGCGAAGAAAAAATTGGTGAAAACCTTTATCCATGACTTCCCTCAGCAAATCATCCCACCCTTTTTTCGATAAATATCAAAATTACAGGTCCCAATCTTGTAGAGTAGATGAATACGACAAAATATTTTCGAACACAAAGGGCCTCATATCTTGACATGGAATAAAAA